TTTTTTTTTTTTTTTTTTAAATAAAGATAAAAAATAAAAGCAATCTTCTCTTAGCTGTACCAAAAGCCTTGAAGTTACCAACCCCCCTTCAAAGATCTGCATCTCTCCTCCTTCAATCCTCAGTTCATCATTTTCTTCATGTGATTTCAGAGGAAACGCCACTTGAAGTTGGATCTGGATTGATTCAAAAGCCGTAGCCGACCGGAAACCGACTTTCGGAAGTTCCTTTTTTGATTTCAGGTTAGTTCGTTGTGTCTCTCCTTTCTCGGCTGCCAAACGTCTCGTTTTCTGCTTTTGCTTTGTGTTTTGAAGTTTGGACGTGCCTTTATTTGTCAGATCCGGTGTTGTTGTTTGTGTGTTGAATTTCGAGTAAGGTGTATGATTCTTAGTTCGAGTTTAAGTGCGCAGGAAAATTTCCGAAAATTAGGATTAAGCTGGTTTCTGCTACTAAGTTAATTGCCTTTAGGAATGGAATGATGTTGAATATGAAAAATGATGTTAATTGGATTGGAACTTTCAATTTCGAGCAGTCAGGGGATGTTCAGTTAAATAACTTGTGTCTGTTGATTATTGGAGGTCATTTCGAAAATTCAGGTGAACTAATAGTCTCTGTTGACACTGTCTCTGTTTGCTCTGATTAATTCTGGCTCTTAGTTTATGTAGGAAGCGGAGATGGCAAGTCGACTGAAGGAAGAAGAGAAAAATGAGCGGATAATCCGGGGTCTTCTCAAGCTTCCCGAGAATCGAAGGTGTATTAACTGTGCTAGTCTGGTAAGCTTTTTCTTTCTTTTCTTGCTGATGGTTTGAGCTGGTGATTTGAAGTCAAGAACCGGAGTACATTTGATAGTTGTCTTATTGTACTCCACGGTTAATTAATGAGGTTAAATGGCCTGTGTAAATTGGTTATGGAGTATTAGACGTGCTGGAATTTAAATTCAGTTTCATATAGTTGAACCTGACATTTTCACAATCATGTTAGTCAAAATAATCAATGAGATGAAGTGTTGCTAATTACAGGGAAATTAGGATGAACCAGTGTAAAATTGTAAATTAATTATCAAGCAGAATTGGCATTAGATCTAAGTGTCATTTCAGTTATCTAATTTTGTTGTGTCATTGATCATGTTAATTAAAGTAATAAAAAATGTGAGAAGAATTATCTGAGAAATTGGGAAGAAAAACAACTATGGTGACTAGGATCAAGTGCAATTGTATCCCAGATAAAAAAATGTAATACCTCCATGAATATTTTGATTTTGGAAATTTCCATTTTGAACTCTGTTCTCTGTAACATTATAATGAATAGGTATGGTTCTTCTTTGTGTGCAACACTAGAGTGTATGTAATACTTCAATTATTGTCATTCTAACTCATTTTCTGGCAAGCAGGGACCACAGTATGTTTGCACAAATTTCCGGACGTTTGTGTGCACTACCTGTAGTGGAATACAGTAAGTGTGCAGTATATTTTCTTTTAGTATTCTTTTCAGCTGTTCCTTTACTTATGTCCTGGGCCTTAAGTGCCTTTAATGTGAGCTATGAATGAAAGTAATTTAGTTGGACTGAATTAAAATTTGAAATTGTTTCCAGCCGAGAGTTCACCCACAGAATAAAATCAGTATCAATGGCTAAATTTACTTCACAAGAAGTGAGTGCTCTTCAAGAAGGAGGGAATCAGGTATGGATCAATCCTTTCTCTTATGCCCACTCTTCCTCACCCCAACCCAAGAAAAGAGAAGATTCCTTGTCTATCAATGTAACTTCAGTTTCATTATTCTGGTCTTGTACATTTATGCAGCGTGCGAAAGAAATCTATCTTAAGGAATGGGATACCCAACGTAATTCTTTTCCTGACATCAGGTTCTTCGCTCATTTATCTTATGTTTGATTATGTATCTCATTAATGGCAGCAATTTTTTTTTAAAAAATTTTTTAATCTTTTAATTTATTTTTTGTTTAATGGCTGTAATTCTGATTCAAAATATTTTCTACCAGCAATGTTGGGAGGCTACGGGACTTTATTAAGCATGTATATGTGGATAGAAGATACACTGGTGAAAGGAACCATGACAAGCCTTCAAGGGCAAAGATGGTAAGTTGGCTTCCTTCCGTCCTGATATCAATTTAGATATTACCCTGGAATAGTGTTGTTTAAATGTAATAGTACTAGGAAATAACTTAATTTTTAGGCCTGAGTTTTGAGCTTCTTAAAATGTAATCTAAAAGGATTTCTTGATATGTGAAATTTGCCTAGTTAAAAAGTGCCATTTTTGTATTATCAATATTATTGGATTATAATGCAGGGTGATAGGGAAGACTTTAATGAAAATGTGAAGACAGATGGATATCAGAGCGGCCCAAGAAGCCCACCATATGAAGATACATATGAACGCCGTTATGGTGAAAGGTCTAGTCCTGGAGCAAGAAGTGATGAAAGAAATTCTAGATATGGTTATGATGAAAGAAGAAGCCCTGGATATGATCATGAAAGTCGACAGTATGGTGATTACAGAAGTCCTGCTCGTCCTGAGGTTGTCAATGACTGGCGCCGTGAGGATAGATTTAGTAATGGGAGGAAACTTGAAGACCGCAGAAAATCAGACGGAGATCCCAAGTTGGAAGGGAGATCACCAGAGCGACCAAAAGATCATGAGTCATCTAGTCCCCCAGTTGTTCGGCCTATTAGAGAAATTTTAGGGGAGAATGTATTGCCTCTTTGCATACAAGAGCCTCCAAAAGCAGATGATGGCAGGACTGCTGATGGCTCCCCACAGGCACAAGTAAGTTTCAACTGTCCTGAGCTACTTTATTTTGACATTCTGAATCTGATCATGATTTTGGCCTCGTATGTCTTCTTCCTTTTTTCCTATTTCCGTTTCTTTTTATCTTCAGTTTTTCCTTTGGTACTTATGTTTTATAGATGACTTTAGTGGTTCTCTGATACTTTTGGTGGTCCATTTATGGTGTTGGATTTTCATTTATTAACAACCTTAAATTGGATGGATGCACTAGGGACGTATTTGTCTCTCTATTCTGACAATTAGAATTCCAACCAATTTTTATGCTAATTTTTTTCTTCTTCCCAATTAAAATTTCACCCACTTTGGTTCAGTCCACTTGTCTGATGTTATTATTTTAGCTTGTTTGGACTTTAGCTTTCATTTCATAACTTTCTTTGCATTTTTTTCTGCCATTTTTATTCAATCTCTAATTAAGTATCTACTATATTATAATCTCATTTCTGTACCAAATCAAGGCATTTTGCCATAAAAATTTTATGGGTTAAACACATTCTATGTATGACTTCACTTGATCATTCATTGAGATATAATTTTCCTTTTCTTTTTTTTTTTTGGTCTACTCCCTTTTCCATTCTTGAATGTTCTTTTTTCCTCAAATTTTTTTAAAAAAAAGGAAGGGGAAGGGGTGGGGGGGGTGGAGGAGTAGACCTGCTTATGATACTGTTACATCTAATTGCAGAGAACTGCATCATCCAGTAGCTTGGTAACTGCCACGACCAATGGTAATGCAGAAGTCAAGTTGGAGACTACTGTAAGCTTAATAGATTTTGATGCTGATCCTGAACCTACTCTAGCTGCAACAGTTACAACACAGCAGACAACCATGACTCAATCTGTTGTGCAGCCAACGAGTTCTGCCAATGACAATAATTGGGCCTCTTTTGATAATGCTCCTGCAGCTCAAATGTCTCAGGCCCCATCAAATACGAATACACTAGACTCTGTTCTCTCTCAATTATCAGCTCCAGCGTCTCTGCCAAATCATACACCAGGAGCATCAAGTAGTTTTGGTGTTCCAGTAGCTACATCTCTGGCCAACACCTTATCACCTCTTGGTGATGATTTAATCAATGCTTCTATTACACACCCACCAACAATACCCTTAGGTGCAGGTGCTCCTACTGCTGCACCTCTTATGGGCTTGTCAACATTTCCTCCGAAGGTTGCTGTGGCTGCAACCCCTGGAATGATGCCTGTGAGCAGTGGGAGTTCCAGCTTCAACATTAATAATGCTGGTCAATGGCCCAGCATGCAGCATCAGCAACCTTCTTTGGTCTCTGCAGCCCCTAGCCCATCTCCTCAACAATTTATGCAGCCAGTTCATGGAGCTCCAGTAACTCAGGTGGGCTCTATGGTGAGGTTTTTTAAAATTTTATACATTATTTTAGTTTATTGAAGTCTTTGTTTAGCTTGTTTCTTCCTGTACCTTTTTGGCAGCCATGGAATTTTTCCTTATCCCAGAAAACACAAGGACCATTGAGCACACCAGCCGCACAAGCATCTCAAGCTGTCTCAAAAACTAGCCAGGGAGCCACTTCCAATGGTGCATTACAACCTTCTCTTGTGGAAACAAAGTCAACTGGAAGAAAAGAACTGCCAGAGGTTTTTTTCCATAAACAAAGATATGCTGATTTTATATGCTCTAAACATTGCATGTTATACAGTAAACCCTTGATTATTTACAGGATCTATTTACTGCAACCTATCCAACCTTTCTGGCTCCAGTTCCAGGATGGCACCCTGGTTTACCTCTGGGCATGGGGTTTCCCATGCAATATAATATTGCAGCAGTATGTGTACACCTCAACAACAGTAAATTTATGAGTTTGTTGTACTTTACATAATTGCATATTTAGTTGCTTGATAAATGACGGTTCTGTATGTGTTTTGCTGTTACAGCCAATGCCAACTTTTCAACAGTCATCAAGATCAATAAATCCATTTGATATCCACAATGAAGCACCAGCAGTGCAGACTCAAACAGTATGTAATTTCCATTTTAAGTGATCTTGTTTGATCTCTATTACTCTTGTTCGACATATTTGGTCTTGTTTGGATTTTGGATTTATTGAAAAAATTAGGTAGTTTAGAAATTTTTTTTGCTTGCATTGCAGCTTTGCAGCTTATTTAGTCTTGTAAACATCTATTCAAAATCTAAGAAGAATAGTAAGCTATTGCTGGAATTTTCCCTATGCTGCATAACTGTTTTACTGGGCCTGTACACATATGTTTTAGACTCTGGAAAATTTGTCTAAATTGTAAACTCCATTTCTTTCCTCAATTGCAGTTTCCTTCAATGGGTTCATTGCAAGGTGCATTACCAAATATGCCCTCTACATCTGTTCTACTGCACACCTCTAGCCTTGGTACTCCATCACCAACATGGATGCCCCCACCCCAGTCATTACCCTCTTCATTAGCAGAACCATCCCAGGCCCAACCCTATGGGTCAGCACTGCCACCAAGTAAATCTGGATCTTCTTTTGTCGCTTTCTTTTCTTTTTAATCTGTTTTTATTTCATTTTGCTCCTTTGTATGTTAAATTCCTCTCCTACCTATCAGGGACATATACAGGACCTCAGGTACCAAGTAGCATGAAAACTCCCAGGTAACTATTTCCTATTTTTCTGAGAAAGAGGTATATGTTACAATTTAATGGATGAAACACAAGAAAGGAATGGGGAGATAAAAAGATGCTTAAAGGCTACAGTCTAAGTGTATATATCTTTTAGTATTCTCATGAGTTAAAATCCACTCACACAATTCTTGATACACATTACTTACATAGAATTTTGACCATTCGTTTATCCACTATGAATGGTTGAGATTTATCCACTTTTTATTCTATTTTTTAAAGATAATTGTCTTTTTTTATCTAAAAAGTCATGACAAATCTTAATCATTCATATTGGAGAGATGAATGGTCAAAATTTTGTGCAAGAGTTGTGTATAAGTGGATTCTAACTCTTCTCACATATTCACGTTGGACTCGTATTTCTCAGCAGTTTCAGTTTCTTCCTTGCCATGGCATTGCTTGCATTAGGCTACTTACTCTGTCTCCAGTTGCCACTTATAGTCTGATAATCTCTTTGTATTGTTACTCTCCTGATTGACGAGTAATCCCTTGTTTTTCAGCCATCAAGTAAGTGGCATTGGCAGTGAGACTGGTTTTGGCTTTGTAAATATGGATCAGCAGTTTGCCGGGAGGTTCTCAGCACCTGCTACCCCACAGCCATTCTCTTCTGTTAACCCATTTGGATGAACTTAAAATGGAGGCTTGCTCACAATTTCAGGTTAGGCATCCTCTTGTTGCTAACTGGGAAATTGCTGGGCAGTAAGTTTTGTTTTTGTGAGAAGATCCTAGGCTTCCAACAGATCCATTAATCCCTCACTTTGGCTGTAAGGACCTTAGATTCAAAATTGGCTATAGAAAATTAGTTTAATTCTATAAGAGAGGTGAATATGAGTTCAAGAAAAGATAAAATTAGGACGGTACAGACGTCCGTGAGGATCATAGGTTATTTTTTGTGTAGTTATGATGTTTATTAGCACTCGTGACTTCCATTGAGTGATCTGCTTGTTGCCTCGTGTCCTAGATGTTGTATCATACTTCTTTCATTTTCATGTTTTGTATAATTAATATTTCAATCTCTCCATCGTTGTGGGAAGCGCTTTTCTTATACGAAACTAGACCGGGCAAACGGGTCTAGCCAGGTGGGTTTGGATTGAGTTATTTCGAGTCTTGGGTTTATGCTGTTGGGTCATTTCGAGTTGTGGATGGAAAGAGTTGCCTTATGAC